AATTCCGGTAAGTAACATAAAATAATGTCATTACATACATTAATAGTACATTTGTACTATTTAGCATGTCATTTGACGGTAACAAGAGCAAATTCAATTTAAATCTATTAAATACATTCTAGCGTGTCTCAGTCCTTTACCCACAAAAGCGGCTATAATTTTTTTTTTCTATTCAAAACAGTAAGTGTGGCACCTTTCTGAAATCTTTATTAAATGAGCAATTTTTTTATGTAATGTAAAGTTATAGCTCAGTACATTTTTTTTTCACCCGAGATAGTCAAAGTTGGGGAAGAAAATATCAAAAAGTTAAAAATCCAGAAATAGTCCTAATTTTATGATGGTTCCTTAATATATTTTAACTACATTGCATTTGAGTATGGAGAGGCAACTATCTGGAAGTATTTTACATAAAAAATTTACTAAGTATTGCCCGGTTTGTAGTTGCAGTTAAAGAAAACACACGAAAAGGCACGATTTTTTTTTAATTCGAAAAAATGTAAATATTTCAAAAACGGTGACACTTTTACCTGAAAATTTTTTGTTTATCAGGGAGCTCTCATGAAACGTTTTCAGTTTTAAAAATCTCACTCTCCATTTTTGCGATACCGCCGCCTAAGAAGTTTCACTTCAAAAATCCTTTTTCAGTTAAAAGTGACCTTCTGGAAATACTTCAAATTTTTTTGGTTTTTCTTCTACGAGACTTTTTTCTCAAAAAAACATGGGTATAGAAACAAGAAACTCCTTTAGCAATAAACAGATCTTGGTAATTATGTTATTTTTATTGTTTTTTGCATAAAATACTGGGTGACATTCGGGAAATAGTGCAATGACAAATCCACTTAAAAACACAAAATAATTGCTTTTATTAAGTTATTTCTTATGTCATTCGATCAATAACTTCTTGCGCTTCTTAACTGCAATTCACTTAGGCAAGCAAAACAACTAATGTTAATATCACGGCAAAATTAAAAAAAGTGACATTCTGGAAAATTCAGAGGGACAATATAATAATATAAAGCCACGCTTATACTGAGATTTTTCAGGCAAAAATAGAACAAAACGTTAAAATTTAAGGTAGTCATTCACAAACAGTTACGCCTTTTTTCGTTATTTCTTTGTTTAAATTTTCATCATGTTGATTAAGGCATAACCTGATGATATATCAAAGAAATACCGTTCGCAAAAGAAAACAAAACGTCTCAGAATAATGAAAAAAAACNGAAAGCCATGCTTATACTGATAGATTTTTCAGGCAAAAATAGAACAAAACGTTAAAATTTAAGGTAGTCATTCACAAACAGTTACGCCTTTTTTCATTATTTCTTTGTTTAAATTTTCATCATGTTGATTAAGGCATAACCTGATGATATATCAAAGAAATACCGTTCGCAAAAGAAAACAAAACGTCTCAGAATAATGAAAAAAAACAGTTTTATTGGCGGTTCATTATTTGGATTCTATAATACACTTTTTAGCTGGGATCCAACGATTGCCGCAATACACCAATTATTGCCTCATTTTATGCCCCAATCGTGTGATTTCACAATACATTGACTCATGCGGCAATAGAGGCCGATATTGTGCTTACTGTGCCCAATCAAATACGGCCCGTGTGCGGCAATCGTGTGATAGCTCGATTGGCAATCATGGGGCAATGAAAATTTCAAAATTGCGGCAATATTTATTGTATTCTTGTGCGGCAATTGAAGTGAACAATACACATCAATATTTAGGCTGTTTATTAATAATTTACTTTTTTGCTTCCTTATGTGTCCAAAAATCACTGAAANTCAATGCACATCAATATTTAGGCTGTATATTAATAATTAACTTTTTTGCTTCCTTATGTGTCCAACAATCACTGAAATTAATATCCTTGTTTTCGGAAGCAACATAACTTTTAATTTAATTTGTAGTGAAATTATAATTTTTCTTGAAGTCCGATAACGGAATCTTTGCCGCGATATATACCACCACAAGCAAAACTCATACGAGAAGAATACGAAAGGTATTTTATGTCACCAAATGGCGGACTGCCATGACAGTATAAATTTATTAAAAAAAAAAAACTTAAAAGTTCAATACAGCCCACGACAAAGCAGTAGAACCTCGACATTTTGACCAGTCTTGACTATTTTTCTTCTACTTATTTAATCTTCATTATTTTCGTATAAAAGTATAGCTCATTGTCTAACAAAAACTGCATAAATCCAAATTGCAAGCTTTATACAAAAATTATAAAAATTTCTTAAACTTTTGAGCACAATCCCACGGTTTATAATTTGGATTTCTAGAAAAAAATGGTTATTTAGTTTTTTAGCTTATTAAAATTTAGTACAATAAGGTGGAGGTTTGAAGTTGCTAAAAGATCCTGTTGATTTTTTATAATTTTTTTAGCTGACGGTATTATGCACTTTCTTCTCTGTAAATTACTTTGTAAACTGCAAAACAAAATTTTTTCTAGAAGCCCAAATTAAAAACCATTGAATTGTGATCAAAATTTTAAGAAATGTTTATAATTTTTGTATAAAGTTTGGAATTTGGACTTATGTGGTTTTTACTAGACAATGAGCTATGGTTTTATAGGAAAAAATTAACATTAAACAACAGAAGAAAAAAGTCAAGACTGATCAAAATGTTAAGGTGCTATCTTTTGTTGCGAGCTGTACATATAATTATAAAATTTAAATCCAAACATAAATTATGTAAATTCGCAGCTTTCATTTAAACAAACATAACTCTTTTGTACCAATTTTACTTGTAATGAATAAAAAAACCTCTACGTAACAAAATTAAAAAGAAAACTTTTGCAACTTGAACTCCACATAGCACGTTGCAGTTATCGTCGAAAAATAAAAAAACTATACAATCAAACTTCTAAATAAATGCGTGAGTTTTCGTTGGGTACAAGTTTTTGCTTCTTTGCTTTCAAACAACAACAAATTTGCACAAAATGAGCCCGCAATATACAAAGCAGATGCAATTGATTTATTTTTTTTTTATTAAGAATACGCCATTTTTACACAACAGAGAAAAAAACAGAATTTAGAGGTCAGCGCAACACTTTATGGTCACAATTGCCGCATGCTCGAACAATCGTGTGATAACTTTGGGGCAATTATTGTCACTATATTGCTTTTCGCCAACTTACGGCAATGAGAATTGTATAAAAAGAGGCAACCGTGTGACTGTACAGAATGTACACACGGTTAAAAATTTCGGTTTTAATTTTAAACTTTTTGGACTACATATATGACCAAACTAAATTCAGTTTCAAATACAAACCTTCCAAGTTTATAAAAAAGAGAGCACATATGTTGGGTTTAGAATTTAAACAATTCGGTTTAAATGTTAAACCCAAACATTTTCATAATTAAGAATAAAAAAAAAAACAATCTTAAATTTCATGCTCCGTCTGGTTGGGATTGAACCCGGACGGCCTTGGTAGCAACCAATTGTATCAAGCATTTTTGCACACTCAGCTACAGCCACGCATGTAAATATGCTTTCATATGTTGAGTTTGAATCAACACCACAATTCGCTGTGCAAACATATTCTATTTCGGTTTAGATTTTAAACCAAAGTTTCTATATTTGAAACCTTGAAACTAGAATTAAAACATTTTGGTTTGATTTTTAAACCACGAACTTTTTGGGCTAAAATTTAAACCAGAATATATTAAAAATTGCGTAAAACTATTGACTGGTTTAAAAAGTAGACTATAAAAGTTTAAAAAAGGCAGTAGTCCCAGCGCGGTTTAAAAATTAAACCCAAATTTTTGACCGTGCAGCACAATAAAAATTGTTCCAGATTGGTTCATTTGCGGTAATCGTGGGATCTCAGCTTTTGATTTTTGGTTTTTACCACCATAAATTGATTTAAAAATGGGAAACAAAAAATAGCACCTTATATACGTACGTGTATGTATACCTATATACAGTGTTGTCAGATGGTCCATATAACTTCACCCTAAAGCCATTTCATTTCTCCCTAAAAAACTTATATATATGTATGTATTTTTGTAGGTGTCCAAGATTGCTAGATACTAGTAGCTCAGGTATATATCAGTTTGGGCGTTAATCAATTAATTTTTCAATAAAAAATTTGTATGAGCTTTACTGTTGAGGCTGCAATTTTTGAACGTCGCAGTCGAACGTTTACTCTCTATAGTCAATATTACCAAGGATAAGTTACGGAACCGTATGTTTACTACGATGTTTCAAAGTTACGAAACTTTTTTTTTTCATTCATCTCAAGCAGGAGTTTCACGATTTGCACATTTTTATAGTAACAGAGTGGTGTTGTTTGGAATTTTTTCAAATACCTTAACCTGGCAACCCTGCTTACACATATAAAATTTAAGCAAATGCTTTGACATACATATATTGTACATATACCAGCTTAAATGCTTAAGAGCTTATAATATCTAATGGAGCTGTTCGATTTAATTTACAGGTGGAACTGCTGGCATTCCAGTTGGCACGGTCGGTCCTTGTACGCCCACTAATGCGCTACACGAATGGACTGGCCAGGTTTCTGTTCGAAAAAAGCGTAAACCTTACTCGAAATTCCAGACCCTTGAACTAGAGAAGGAGTTCCTCTACAATGCGTACGTCTCTAAACAGAAACGTTGGGAGTTGGCAAGAAATTTAAATCTTACCGAACGACAGGTATAAGTCAAAATAATTTCCATTTTATTTTGTTATAATTAAGTTGTTGCCGTTTTGAAATTCATTCTATAGGTAAAGATTTGGTTCCAGAACCGACGAATGAAAAACAAAAAAAATTCGCAACGCCAAGCCGCCCAGCAGAATAACAACAGTAGTGCAAACAGCAACCATAACCATGCGCAGGCTGCGCAACAACACCATAATACTCATCATATGAACTTGGGCCTAAGCATGGGACATCATACTACCAAAATGCACCAGTGACCTTTGGACAACAGCAGTGCCAGCGCAATGGGTTTCACCACCTACTAGCATTTGGCGAATATCAAGACTGAAATGCAGTCGGAATTCCAGTAAACTTGCAAATCTAGTCAATTCAGCATAAATCTACTAATGAATAACTGGACACAACTAAATTTAGCAACTATCACCTAAACAGATACCTAAACACATACTTATATATGTACATCGTTCATTTAAATTATTATTGACAAATGTATGAGCACACACATACATATGTATATACTTACATACGTACATATGTATGTATTTATATTGACGAAACAGTGCTCAATATGTAAATACTATATTGTTGTGCCTGATGTGTGGCAACATAATACTATATATCTATACTACCTATTATTTCTTCGTAATTGTAGGCTGTAATTTTGACCAATTAAAAGTTTCTGAAATTAGGAAAAGTTTTGTTTTATCCTTTTTTCCCAATAAATATTAAGTTTTTTTACCAGTGTAATCTCAAACTTCCGGGGTTTTGCAATTAATTACTAATATGTCAGAACTTAGTATCAAACCAAATAAAATTATATATTTGCATACATAATTTTGGATGATAGATATATGTACATAGATACATAAACTGCCTTCTTAGCGGTTTTGGAGCAGAATAAAATTAACTTAATTCTAAGGAGTAATAGCTTAGTATGTCGTCTATCCTACTTATAGAAAATACTACACACTTAGTGCTTTTACAAGCACAGATTTGCTCGCAACTGAATTCCGTCTTCTAGCAGGAAAGTCTAGAATTACTCGATTTATAAAGACACGCAAAGGGCACTGCTGGGTTCAGAGGAATAATTTAAATAAATATAAAAAATATAAGCAACGATATCTTAATTAAACATTAATTAAAATTAAAATTATTTTAATTATACAAGTAAGTAATTTAAAACCAATGTGGAAATATAGTAGATGGTTGTTGAAAACCACTTAAACATATACATGTATAACCAATTTCTCGTCTCATACAAAAATATAAAGTAAATAAATTATGTATAACGAAAACTACGTTTAACTTTAAAATTAATAAATGCTAACTTCAAACTAAAAAAATTACTAATAGTGAAGGCAATTCAAAAGGATTAAACCCATTTAAAATTCTAAGGAATAAGAATTCGATTGTCAAAATTGTGTACTCCAATAGAGTTGAGCTTTCAATGCAAATGTAGACAAACACATGTAAAGAAGTATTTGCACACGTATGAAGATATGTTTTAAGTCCAATTACAGTACATGATTGCAGTCACTCCCTTGGAAACATAAATATGTATGTATGTATGGTTATTCAAATTACAAATAATACTGATATCTACAAAAGATGTATTTGTACTGCTAATTGAATTTGCATCGTATATGTCACACAGCATGTGTTACTACTCGATCTGTTATATGTATGTATGTAGTATGTGGCACTTGTATTTTGTATCTGAAACTGAGGTAAGTTCCTGTAAATCCAAAAACTGGCTAAAAAAGAAGATTAGAAATTCAAAAGATTTACACACATTCATATAAATCTAAAAAAATAATTAAAATAAAATATACACATGTAATCTGTATAAGGTTTGATGATTCTAGTTTAATTTAGTATCTTCATACATATGTATGTATGTTAAAGTACATGTAGGAAATATTGCAACAGCGCACTGGCAGACATAAGTTTATAACAGTATGTTCAGACAGGCCAATAATCGAGCAATTAGCCAAGCTTTCTAAGACGATAATTGAGCTCAATTTACCATACAAAATTTAAATTTTTAATGGCTCAAATAGTGCTTAACCGAGTGCTAATTGAATGGAGTTTTTCATGCAAGCCTGCTGGGTATGTTTAATTTTGACTATGAGATGCGTTCATTGAGCAAATAGCAATCAGCAGTTTCTGGTCCTCTTTTACAGCGGATAATCCATCAGGGATGGACAATTTAATTTTCAAATTGTAACCTATCTGCGGAAAAACGTTACCTAAAGTAGATAAATGTACCTAACAAGTACATAAATGTATATATTACCCAACATGGTGTGTTTGTACTAAAAATTTACATTAAGTATGGCAAGTGGCAATGTTTATTCTGTTTCCCGCTTATGACGATNATATTGGCAAGTGGCAATGTTTATTCTGTTTCCCGCTTATGACGATTTTGTTATNTTTACATTAAGTATGGCAAGTGGCAATGTTTATTCTGTTTCCCGCTTATGACGATTTTGTTATTTGTTTAAATAAATTGTTAAACACATTTGAAAAAATTTGCCGATTACTTCGAAATGTACATGTCAAAAAAGTAAATTCAGATGTTGTTTACGATTTCCTGAACACAGAGATTAATCGATATACATAATACAAAGTACGATACTGGTAGCCATGGCTACTAGACTAGCAACTAGACACCAGTCGCCATACATAATAGGGCCATAAATAAATGTACGATTGTAACAACTTTTCCATCACTGTAGCTAATCGAGCAGCGGGCCGTGTGTGAACACCAAAAAGCGGTACTTGAATTAAAAGGTTAATTGAATCCATTAAATTTCTGTCTGAACCTTGCTTACACAAGGGCTGCTGTTGATTTGGCGCTTTTAATTCCACAAAGTTTTGCGTGTGATATTTTCCAGTTTATTTAGAAAGAGTAAACAAAGAGCACAGCGCTGTATAGAAGTGAAAAGGAAAATGTGCTCTGTCTCTCCTAAAAACTTTCTCAAAGCGGACTTGACCACCTTTTCGTCCTTGGCGGCAAAGTATTTTTGCTTGAACTGGTTATGGTTCCAACAACCACACCATATGCAATAAGTATGTACAAATGTACATATGACTGCAGATAATTGTTGTCTCGAATTTACAAATTGAAAACGTTGCCCAAATTCTGCAATTTAACAAAAACGTTGTTTCATAACAGTTGTCAGATAAAAAATATTTTTTATTTCGCCGATAAGAGTTATAAACCAAGGTTTATTTTCGACGTTGTTTGATAACAGTTATTGCCCAACGTTTAATTTTTACGTTCCTCGATAACAGTTATTATCCATCGTCTATCTTTTACGTTGTGAAATAACTCTTATTGGCAACGGAAAAAATATTTATCCTGCATAACAGTTGTAAGGCAACATAAAAAGTAGAACTCATATCGGTGAAATAAAAATTTTTCTCATCTAATAACGTGTTATGCAGCAACTTAAAAAATAAACGTTGGGAAATAACTTATTGACGACGGAACACATATTTATCCTGCATAACAGTTGTCAGGCAACGTAAAAAGTAAACGCTGGGTTAGAACTTTTATTAGCGAAATAAAATATTTTCTNCATATTTATCCTGCATAACAGTTGTAAGGCAACATAAAAAGTAGAACTCATATCGGCGAAATAAAAATTTTTCTCATCTAATAACGTGTTATGCAGCAACTTAAAAAATAAACGTTGGGAAATAACTTATTGACGACGGAACACATATTTATCCTGCATAACAGTTGTCAGGCAACGTAAAAAGTAAACGCTGGGTTAGAACTTTTATTAGCGAAATAAAATATTTTCTCATCTAACAACTGTTATGGAACAACGTTTTTCCGATAAAACTTATAACTGTTATGTTGCTGGCTATAAATCCTTGAAGCTGCATGCATATGTGTATTTTTTATGCTAATTGCATTTTTAAATTCAAAGGAAAAAAATACTTATGTAGGTAACTTCAATTATCTTCAATCATTGACATGCAAGTATTTTATCGGTAGTATACTACAATAAAATATAAAGCTAAAATAAATAACTATAGTGTAAGTTTTATGTGTGCATGCCATTTAAAAGAAAAAGATGAATAAACCCTCGGTAATGTACTACCAATTATTTTATTTACATAATTACCAACCTATACTCTATCAAATTGTAGATATGGCATATTCTTAAATAAATAAAAAATAAACAGAAAAAATTTAAGAAATAGAACAACAAAATATAACAATAGATATGTACTTGAAATACACATACATACATATGTATGTACATTCGTACTAAATATCATGTGTATCTTTGGAAAACTCCGACTTGCGATTGCGAAAATATAATATATTTAGACNAAATTGCATTTTTAAATTCAAAGGAAAAAATACTTATGTAGGTAACTTCAATTATCTTCAATCATTGACATGCAAGTATTTTATCGGTAGTATACTACAATTAAATATAAAGCTAAAATAAATAACTATAGTGTAAGTTTTATGTGTGCACGCCATTTAAAAGAAAAAGATGAATAAACCCTCGGTAATGTACTACCAATTATCTTATTTACATAATTACCAACCTATACTCTATCAAATTGTAGATATGGCATATTCTTAAATAAATAAAAAACAAACAGAAAAAATTTAAGAAATAGAACAACAAAATATAACAACAGATATGTACTTGAAATACACATACATACATATGTATGTACATTCGTACTAAATATCATGTGCATCTTTGGAAAACTCCGACTTGCGATTGCGAAAATATAATATATTTAGACCTTTCGTTTTCTCTTTTGTTATTGTTCTTAAATATTGCTTGATTAGTTGTTGCTCTTATTGTTTAAATAATTTAGTATGGACTTTCCTTCTATGGAGCTATTAATATTCCTAAACATAATATATACATACATACACATTCATATGTATATGAAAACTAAAAAAGAATTATTTGAATGAAGTTGCCTCTCTAATTTGGTATTATTTCTTGTTTAAGCTGATTTAGGCAGTTAAAGTTCGGATATATTTATGTTAATGTTTATATTAATCTTTGAATTTAAATGCAACAACTCTAATTGTATAGTGAATTTAGTAGTTAAAATGGTTTAGTTGCCCCTCTTTATGATATATAATNTCTTCTATGGAGCTATTAATATTCCTAAACATACATACACATTCATATGTATATGAAAACTAAAAAAGAATTATTTGAATGAAGTTGCCTCTCTAATTTGGTATTATTTCTTGTTTAAGCTAATTTAGGCAGTTAAAGTTCGGATATATTTATGTTAATGTTTATATTAATCTTTGAATTTAAATGCAACAACTCTAATTGTATAGTGAATTTAGTAGTTAAAATGGTTTAGTTGCCCCTCTTTATGATATATAATATACATATATTACTACCCGCTATGTTTTTTCTAAGTGAAAGTTATTGTGAAAAATCGTAACATTAATAATAAATTAAATCAAATTTGATTAGATTGTTGT